TCCCTTCCCACTCGGATAAACCGCCCTTATCCGAGGTGTTTTCCATTTTTCATTCAGATATTCCTTTTTCTCTCGGACAACACATCCCACCTCGGCTAATCCTCTATTTCTCTCGGAAGTTTTCCTTTTTCCCTTGGAGACAGTCCACTGACACTCAGACTAACCTCTGAGACTCTCGGATAAATCCCACTGCACCGGGATAAATCCCATTTTTCACGGACTGGACCCTCTATCCCTCGGATATGGTCCATCCGGCTTGGCTATCCAGCCAACCATCCGACTATTTCCCCGGTCATCGCCCTGACCATAGTCTGAACCTCCATTTCCCAGCCAAAATCCGACCCTTGGCTCGATCATTCCTCGGACAACGCCCTGTCCAGCTCGATCATTCTGAATTCTCTCGGATACAGATGCTACACATTCTCTAATGTAATGATACTGAATGTTGATGTGCTTACTTTGATCATGAAAGCCGAAATTCTTTGCCAAAGCTATTGCTGACTTGTTTTCCACAAAGATCTTCACCGGCTCCTCTTGTGGCAAACTCAACTTCTTTAATAAGTTTCATAACCGAATAGCATAGCAAACACATGAAGTAGCCGCTACATACTCCACTTCACAAGTAGAGAGGGTGAAAGTCAGTTGCTTCTTTGACATACATGTGAATATTGTTTCTCCAATGAAAAACACAATAACATTTGTGCTTTTCTGATCATCTACGTCTCCACCCCAGTCGTTGTCGTTATATCCAACAAGCTTGTAATCATTATAAACAGAGTAATATAAACCAAAGTGTATGGTACCTTTGATATAGAAAATGATCCTCTTAGCTGCCTTGAAATAAGTGGTTGTCGGATGCTCCATATGTTGGCTCACAACTCCAACTGCATAATATGCCAAAACTTGTACACGTTATGTAACGTAGGCTTCCAACCAAACTCTTAAAGAGTGTTGGATCCACACTCTTTCCTTCTTCTTGCTTTGATAGCTTGGCTCCATATTCCATTGGAGTACAAACTGGATTCGAGTAATCCATGTTTAACTTCTTCATCACTTCTTTAACATAACCTTCTTGAGTAATGAATATTCTATTGTCTTTTAGTTTCAGTGAAATTCCAAGGTAGTAAGGCATCAATCCAATATCACTCATCTCGAAATTCTTCGTCATCTTCTTCTTAAATTTCTCGAACATACTTAAATTGTTGCCTTTGAATATCAAGTCATCTACAAAAAACCATGCAATCAATATATCAGTGTTCTGTGTTTTGATATACAGTGCATGCTCATGAAGACTAACTCCTTGAAATACTTATCAATTAGAGTATTCCAAGCTCTTAGTGCTTGTTTCAACCCATAAAGCACCTTCTTTAACTTTAAGACTTTATCTTCTTCACCTTTGACTATGTAGCATTGTGGTTGCTTAATGTAAATTTCTTCTTTAAGATCTCCATTTAAGAAGGTTGATTTGACATCCATTTGATGTATCCTCCACCTATTTTAGGCTGCTAATGAAATCAATAGTCTAACTATTTCTAATCGAACAATGATATATCATGGTTTTTGTAGTTTTTAACCATGGTATCAGTCCTTTTTATTGAGTTTTTTGGTCTTTTTAGAGTCCTCGTAGAGTAATTGCAGGTTATAGCATGACTGGAGCATAATTTGAGGTTTTGGAGCTTTTTGGAGCATTGTAAGATCCATTCCCGAAGTTAGCATCTCAGAAGCGTTGTTCTGCACTGAGTGACGACCGTCACCACTTATGGGTGACGCTTGTCACCCTCATCTGAAGAAAATCGCGACTTATTTAAAAAAATGGAGAAGATATTGCAGTTTTGGCCCAGAAGTTCCAGTATTTACAAGAAGACCACAGCTTGTGTTTTGGCCTGTATATATTATGTTTTCATCCATTGTTGGCTTTTATCTAGTATCTTAGATTTTAGAATTCAGAGAGCTTAAGAGAGAGTTTTATTCAGAGCTTTTGGGGAGAGAGATCCTGTACTCTTTGGAGAAGATTTCGAACCCCTTTATCTTTTATTATATTCTTCTAATGCAGTTTTATTCAGCTATGTTTTGTGTCTTCATGATCATGTCTGAGTAATCTGTTAGTTAAGTTAGGGCTTTTCAAAGGTTGATGAAGAGTTTGTAGAATCGCTAATCTGTTAGGAATGTCTTTTGGTTCTTCATATGTGCTTGCATTCAAACCGATTTCTTAGACACATCATCTGGATTTTGAAACCCTAGGTTGTTTAATAGATGTGAGAACATTGTTAATCACCTGAACTAGTATTAGATGAGCAAAACGCCTATTTGCAAAGAGATTTGACTTAGGAGTTTTGTGAACAATTGAACCTGATCATTACTGCATGTTTAGGTTGTTAGAGTTTGCAAAGAGATTTGAAACTCTGTGATTTAGACATAGATAACTTCTGCAATGAGAATTGATTAGTTATACCTTTGCGATTCATGTTTAAGACGGTTTTAATTCATTCCTGATTACATGCATTCTACACTCTCGGATTCAACCTTCAAATTGACCTGACTTAGCGCTTTTAGTTTCATGAATCTTAGATAAATCAATAATCGCCTGCTTTCATTGTTTTCACTGCTTAGCCTAGCCCGAATCTATAATTGCTAGTGTAGTTTACTTAATCCCTTGAGATTTGATAACCTCCGATCAAGCAACCGATATATCATGGTTTTTATGGTTTTTAACCATGATATAAGGTCTTTTTATTAAGTCTTTTTGGCCTTTTTAGAATCATATTAGAGTCTTTGCAGGTTAAACCATGATTGGAGAACAATTTGAGGTTTTGGAGCTTTTTGGATCACAGCAAGAATCAATCCCGAAGGAAGCAACTCAGAAGGCTTTTGCTGCACTGGTGACGATTGAAGCAAAGGTTTTTGGTGCCCTTGTTTTTACTTCAAAGTATTCATAATCACCAAAACAGATGTAGTATAAGGTCTTAGGTGTCAAACACACTTGTGGATCTTGAGATACAAATAATGTTGTAAGCTAAGACTAAGCAATGAATTCAAAGCAATAACTAAGCAAGAACTAAATAAGAAATAAGCAATACTAAGCAAGATGATCTTAAGACAATTAATTAAAAGCAAGAATCAAGGTTCTAAGCATTTGTGGGATTAATGGTTTTCAAGAATGACAAAGGAGATTTCCAGCAAAGGTAAACATCAAGCATTCATAAGCAAGCATTTCTCAATGTTGTACTCCTAAACAAAGTATCCAAAAGGAATCAGCTTGGCATCAATAAGCAATTCATATTCAATATGATTGAAGTGTCAAACCCACTTGTGATGACGTATTCTTCAACCGTGTGCATAAATATCAGAACCATTCTAGCCTAAGAGAAGTACTAAGCAAGCAAATTTTCTCTAACTCAAACAAGAATTCAGATCAATCTATCAATCTTGTGAACCATATAGGGATCTAGTTAGCTAAGCACTAATCAAGAATATGGACTATAGCACACAGTTGCAAAACCCTAACAATGCTAAGCAATGAAGAGTAATTAAACAAATGCAAGATCTTTCAATGCATACTATCTAACCATCAAGCAAGAATCTCAAAACCAACACTATCTAGCCCTAAGTGAATCATCTAGCAAGGTGAACTATCAATTTGATGTCACTGAACAAAGGAAACATAGACCAAGCTAAACTATCAAACAAATAAGCAAACCATGCATAGAGATGAGATATCAAGCCATCTAGTGAACCATATGCATCAATTAATACCATATTCAATAAAAAAAAAAGCAAGCTTTATGAACAAGAGAAGAAGACAACAGAGAACAAATTAATCAAGCCTAATCACCCCTTAATCACATCTTAATCACCATTTTCCCTATTTAGAACCCCTAAATCTAAGGTAAACTACCCACTAATCATCTTTAATCCCATTTGTTTAAAGCTAAACAGGATTAGATGAGATTAAAATGCAAATATAAGAAATATAAACTACCAGGGTGCTAGAAATAAGATCAAGAGACAAGATTAAACCATAAAAGTGCAAACTTTATTAAAGGAAAGGATTATAGAGCAAATCACCCTTTAAGGTTTCTGAACAAGATGAAAAGAGAAAGTTTTTGATAGAAAGACTAAGATAGTATTAAGACATTGTTTTGTGGCTTCTCTTTTATAGTAGGGGGCCAAAAGAAACATAAAAATTGGTCAATGCGTGGATGAGTTGCATCGAGGTTGTACAGACGGTGTTCTGCTCGATGTACAACCTCGATATGGCTCGTGCAGCTCGTATCGTCTTCCTTGCTCGATGCTTGACCTCGATGCAGACCAAAGGCTTAGACTCCTCAAACTGATCCTCTTCCTCACGTCCTGCGGCTTACATCGAGCACACTCCACATAGGTTTTGCTCGATAACCTTGCTCGATATGGACCAGACTTTCAAAAGCTCCTTCTTGAAATCCCATTCGAACATGAGCTGCTTCCATCTCCTTCCCAACTCCAAGAACCTCCAAAAACACCAGAAAATCACCACAAACATGCACATGTATGCAAATTTATGTATCCTTACACTAAATGCGTGCAATGTTGATTCTAAGTGCAAATGAGGCGAAAATGCTAAACTTCCCGGTCTTTAGAGGGGATCCCCAAAGGTGACGCGTCTTTTGTTCTGGCTTTGCCAGCCTCTTTACCCCTTCAGGAGAACCTTATCCTTATAGCGCTGAAAAGAAGGACACCCATCGTTAAAAAGGTCCCAGTCCAATCCGATCATCTCAACACTAAGTTGTCCTCTCACTTTTGCAGCATTTCCGTCTACTATGATTAATCCGAATAATGCTCCTCCTATACGTAAGGAGCATAATAACACCTCCCTATGAGTACTAAAACCTTTTTTTTGGAATGTCCGGGGTCTTAATGACACGGCAAAGCAACAGTCTTTTGTGCATTGGCTGACTAGTCACCAGCCTCTTTTTGGAGCCATTTTGGATCCACACATTAAAGATCACAACCTGAACCACTTCATGTCTACTACTTGTCAGGGTTGGAATTTTACCTCTAATCAGGACTCGGATGAGGATGGCCGTATTATTCTTATTTGGAAGGATACAGTTGATGTTACCATTAAGCTTCTCACCCGTCAGTCCATTACCTGCGAAGTTAAGCTACCTTATGGGGATCAGTTCTATTATACTGCGATTTATGCATCCAATTTAACAGAAGAGAGATCGAACCTATGGGTCAAATTATTGGATGCTTTTCAGTACCTCAAGCTTGATATGTATCCGTGGTTGGTTGGCGGAGATCTAAATCAAATTGTGCACCCTATAGAGCATTCAGATCCTAACGTAAACAGTCTTGATTCACAAATGATGGCCTTAAGATACTGCCTTAATTAGATGGGATTGTTTGATTTGAGCTATCAAGGGCCACTCTTCACTTGGTCAAACTGTCGGCTTTCTTCCCCAATTGCGAAAAAGCTTGATCGTGTTCTTGTGAACATGCAGTTTGTCTCCAACTTTCCTCAAAGTTCAGCTGCTTTCTTGCCTCCTCTAATCTCTGACCATTTCCCCTGTATGCTTAATCAAGCAGTGCCCTTGCCAACGGTTGGAACTCGTCCCTTCAAGTTCTTCAATTACTTAACAAAGCATCTGAGTTTCTTGCAAGTGGTGTTTGATGCTTGGGCTCAACTTGAACTCAGACGTTTTACTCTATCAAATCTCTGTTGGAAGCAAAAACTAATCAGAGGAGCTCTAAAACAACTCAACAGGGATAATTTTTCTCAAAATCAAGTGAGGGTTTCAGAGGCTTACCATCAACTACAAGTAATTTAGATTCAGGCCCTCCAATCTCCTTCTCCTCAGCTATATCTGGATGAGCGTGCTTGCCACGATAAGTGGAACTTCCTGCGGGTAATTGCGGAAATGTAATTCAAGCAAAAATCACGAATAAACTGGCTCAGATTGGGTGATCAGAATACATCTTACTTCCACAAAGTTGCTCAGGTGCAGACAAGCTATAATTCGGTCCGGTCCTTCATTTTAAGTAATAGTTTGATCATTAACGACCCTCTGGCTAATAGTTTAATATTTTAAGTAATAGTTTGATCATGCTATAAACTAGTTTAAGTCCATCATTGCCCTGGATTGCTATGGCTCTGCTATCACTGAGTCGCTTCCCAGTTGGTTCTTGGATCTGCTGCATTACCAATGCTACCATGCCCAAGTTGTGTCTTTAACTCTATTGCATACAGCGGAGGAAATCACTAGGGTCATGTTCAAACTAAACCCAAATAAATCTCCTGGTCCTGATGGTTTTACATCCGGCTTCTACAAAGCTGCTTGGGGTTTTCTAGGTGAAGAAGTTACCTGCTCTATTAGGGACCTCTTCATCTCGTCTTTTCTGCCCTCCTCTGCTAACTCGACTATTTTGACTCTTGTTCCCAAGTTCCCTGGTGCCTCTAGTATAGCTGACTGCAGGCCTATCGATTGTCTCAGCACAGTCTATAAAGTTGTCTCCCGCCTGCTGGTCAATAGAATCCTGCCAAATCTGCCTTTGCTCCCAACGTTAATCCTGCCAAAACAAACAATGTTTGTTAAGGACATGCTACTTGTTGAAAAGACGGTTCTAGCTGGTGAACTAGTCAATGGTTATCATAAAAATAAATGGCCGAAAAGAATCACAGTAAAGGTGGACATGATATCTCTTGTATTTACACCATTTAGGCTTGCATTTAGTACATGTTTTGGTTCTCTTTTGCATGTTTTTCTTATCTTTTGTCCTATTTTCTTCTCCTTTTAGACTTAGGTTGCATTTAGGACATTGTTTGCATTTTCTATGCATTATGGATGTTTTTAGGTACCTATGGAGCCATAAGGAGCATGGAGAAGCTTTGAGGATGATCCAGGAAGCTAGCTAGACCAAGAGGAGCAAAAGGGACCAAAGCAGATGATATCTGCAGAGCCTATCGAACAAAGCACAAGACCTATCGGTCAGGCCTATCGGTCAGTGAAGTGACTGATAGCAGTGCACCGGTTATATTTCGGTCACCCTATTGGTAATCTTCCATACCCGATAGGATCCCTATCGACCATTCCTATCGGTCACAACTGACCGATAAGAACCCAGTCCGAGCCTGTTTTTATTTACATCTTTACCATTACTTTAGGGCTTCCTTATCTTTTGTATAAATACTCTTTTTCTGGTAATTTCGACAAGTAACCTCATAACACTGTTCATGAGTTTATTTTCTGGGTTTGTAAACAAATTTCTTGCTTTATTTAATTCAAGTTTGTTTTTGCCATTAATTTCTCTCTAATCTCTCTTCTAATCATGATTTGGTGTTAAACATGAGTATTAGTGAGTAGTTTGCTTAGAGATCTTAGATGTGGTAGATTAAGAGGATTTATTGATTGATTAAGGTTTGTTTAGTGTTTAATTTCATGGGTTCCTCTCTATTAATCTGTTTATAAGCTAGATTTGTCTTGACCACACTTATCTAGAATTTAGGCTTTCTCTTATGCTCACCAAGTGTTTGATGAAATGCTGATCTTGTTTGATAGAGGATTTGCTGGCCTTGGCTCAAGAGATTGACTGTTTGAGGAGCATTTTAACATGAATAGAGTTGGTTGCTATTGCTTGCTAGATGTTTTAGCACTAATGAGAGTTAGATCTTTCTAAGGTGTTTAGTAAAGGGCTATTTTACAAGAGATTGGACGTAGCTTGCTTGATTGTGAACTCTATGTCTAGGAACCACCATTTCTAGCTTGTTTACTTGATCAATGCTATTTGAAACAACCTTAGTTAGTCTCTAGATTCCCCAAAATCAATAACCACATCTAGGAACTAGCTTTCTCTTTATTGAATTTCGAATTTGTTAAGTGCTCTGTTTATTTTGCTCTGTTTTCCTTCTTGATCATTGCTAAACTGTCTTCTTTTGAATCCTCTTTGGTGATTGATCATTCTATGTTGTTAGATAAGTTTCTTAGGACTCTTCTTTGCTTTGCTTGACTTATAGATCTCTGCTCACAACTCTTCTGCTTTCAACAAACCCAGTTGGATTGACATAAAACCCTTGCGATACTACAATTGATTAACATAGAGGGGTGATTGACTTGAGACCTAAAAACCTCTGTGTCAATTTGGCGCCGTTGCCATTTGGGTTTTGTGTTTGAAACATTAGAGTTTACAGAATCTTTAAGATCAAGTCTTTAGTTTTATTTGATTACTCACTCCTTTTCAAGTATTTTCATTTCAGATACATGTCTACAAGTAAAGAAGATGCCCTGCTTTGAAACTCCAGGGTACAACAACTTCAACCAAGAGCTTCTGCCTATGAACTACCTTGCAGACAGCTACACCACCCACCCACAGTTTGCACCCACTCCAGCTCACCCTTAAGGTCAATACAACAACTCTACTTATGGTGCAGATGATACCAAGAGCATGCTCACTCAATTCCTCAACTTATAACTCCTAGAAACATTGAAGATGAACCAGGGATTTGCTGAGTTGCATAACAAACTGGACTCTGTTCATGATGAGCTTACCAAGCTTGATGACTGGGATTCAAGGACACAGATCTCAAAAGACAACAGAGGAGTTGACATAGCACCATGCTCCCCAAATATTCTCTCTGAAGCATGTAAGCAAAATCCTCAGGAATTCTGCCACTTACTTACTGAAGAAGATGAAGAATTCAATGATGAAGATGCTTCATTGGAAGAGCTTGGCATTATGCTTCAAGAGTTGCTGTTACATGTGGACATGTTAAGGGCTGAGTATGGGGGGGAGGTCACCCATTCTAACATTGATGATCAAGAAGCTACTGATACTGTAGAGAAGTTCCTCAAAGGACTAGATGACAGCTTGAACAGAGAAGATGAGCAAGAAAGAGAAGCACAAGAAGCTGCTGAGAAGGAATAGGCTGAGAAAGCCTTAGCTGCTCCAAAAGAAGAAGCCAAACCAGAGCTCAGTGAAGCTGACAAAGAACTTGTAGAGGAACACCATGCTTTGATGGTCTTGGCTAGTGAAAATCCTGAAGATCTACAGGGAGTTTATGGTCTTGGCTAGTGAAAATCTTGAAGATCTACAGGGAGCTATATGATCGCCAAGTGGGTAGCTCCTCAAGCAGAAATGAGAAGGTTAAAGCCCCAGAAGTTCAAGCTTACAAATCAAAAGTCATTTACCCCAAAATGCACTTTACAAAAGCTAGGATGGAAGCTCACACAAAGTTCAGGAAAGACATACAAGATGCCGGAATAAAGTTTCCCCATGGAACCACTTTGCTTGAAGTGAAGGATCAGATCAGGTTCCTCAAGGAAGTCTTTGACAAGCTGGAAGTAGTGGAGCCAATTCTTGAAAATGTGGGGGCTAATATGACTAGAAGCAAAGAGCTGAAGACATTGACAAAGCTTCCCAATCCAGGAAAGTTCCTCATTACTTGTGAACTAGAGATGCTAGACAATGTTGGGGTCTTGTGTGATTCAGGATCAACAGTGAATGTCATGTCTCTCCACTTGAGCCAGACTTTAGCAATCAAGAAACTGAACCCATGCAGAGCCTCTATCACCTTTGTGGATAACACCTCAACAAGACCTTTGGGCATGGTGAAGGATTTCCCTCTGAAGATTGGGAATTGCTTAGTGCCAACAGATTTTGTGGTTATGGAGAAGACTTATTCAAGAGAGGTGCCACTTCTTTTAGTAACACCATTCTTGGAAACAGCAGGAGCTCAGCTGGACTTCAAGAGAGGCTCTGTTATTCTAAAAAATGTTGATGAGTTCAAGGTCTACAAAATTGTCTGTCCTTCCATAGTCTTTTGTGGGATGATCATTGAAGAGGAAAGTGAACAACAACAACTTTCGGAGCATGTGCAGCATACTATGGGTTCCACAAGGAGGATCTTGATGAGTCACACTCTCCCTAAGGAGCCAGATCAGAAGCTGGACAATGGGTTGGAACTTGAAGATGGTTTGGATGAGGTTAAGAGTTTAATCACCAAAGAAGTGCAACCTCCAACCACACCAAGTTGTGTCAAAAAGAAGAGGAACAGGAAGTCAGCAAGTGAGAAAAGAAGCTGGTGTCAGTAAGCACATGGGTCTACCAGAAGAAGGAGGCAGGAGCACCAGCTCAATCAACTTCTTATCACTACTATGGTAAGCAAAGTCAAGCTTAGTGACTTTAAACAAGCACACTTGGGAGGTAGTCCCATGGTATCCTTTTGTATATATTATGCTTTCTAGTTTATTTTTATGCTTAGTCAATGTGTATAGAAGCAGGAGTTCAAATTTGGGGTTGAGAAAGTCTTTGAGGGACAAAGAACATGTGCATTCTGGCTGCTATCAATCACCGTATCGGTAAGGACAAGACCGATACAGACCCTATCGGTCATGCTATCAGTCATGATGTGATCGATAGCAGTAGAGCCAGATTGCTCCAGTCAACCTATCGGTAACTTGTGATCGATAAGGAAAGGATTTGCAAGTGAGTGTCCTATTGGTCATACCTATCGATCAGACACAGACCGATAGAAATCCATCGGATATATTTTGGTCAAGTGTATCGATCAGATGGAGACCGATAGGATTCACAGGAAGGTATCGGTCATTGCTTTTGATCACTTGTGATCGATACGCACCCTATCGGTCATTCCTATCGGTCACATTATGACCGATAGCCCCACGAGGTAAGTGCTTCAATTTTCAAAAAACTTTCCCTCCTTTGGTTTGGAGCCAAGGAGGTTTAAATTCAAACTCTGAATCCTTCCTGCCACTTTGCAAAGCTCCTGAGCACTTTTGTTTTTGTCCCCCACTCTTTAGATTCATTTGGTTCCCGCACCAACTTTTGATTCATTTGGTTCGCCCTTTTCCACTCTATATAAACAACAATCTTCTCCTCTTCTCTTCACAATTCATTTCACTACTTCTCTCACATATAGCACAAAATTTTTAGCTCTTTCTCTCTTTTATTTATCTTCTCTAAGTGCTCAGAAGCTTCATCAAGGTTTGCTTCCTCAACTATTCATCTTTTGTTCTTAATCAATGAATGTGCTTATAGTTGATTAATCTATGGTTTTAAGTGCAAGTTTTGTTTAGTTAGATGTTGTGCTTTGGTTTTGCATGGTGGATATGTTTAAATTAAGCAAGTTTACTGTTAAAGCTTTGTTTACTGTTCTTTAATCTTAGTTCTTGCTAGTTTGATAACCCTTTGCATGATCATTTTTTCTTTTGCTTAGAGCCACCATGCTAGGTTCACATGCATGAATATCTTATCTTTATGAACTCTAGCAAGTTTAAACTGTTAGCTTGTGAATTCTTCTTGCTTTGTAGGAGTTTAATCTTGTTTAGTGACTAGATAAACTTCTCTTAGCTTAGAGAAATTCATTTTAAAGCTTTCAGTTATTGGTCTCTCAAACCTTTGTTCTTGTACTTATAGTATCTTCAAGCTTTGATTTTGTAGGTACCATGGGTAAAACAAGAGCAACTGCTGGAAGCAAGGGAAAAGCACATCAGGAGGAAGCACCCACTTCTCCTAGAGCAATAAGGGATAAAGGAAAGGATGCTGCTGCTGAACACTCATCAAAGACTGCTGGAAAGAGACCAGTTGGGGATAAAGGCGCCAAGCAGAAAAAAAAGAACAGAACTGTGGAGGAAGAAGTCCCATACCATGAGCCAAGTGCTAAGGAACTGATGGATGTTTTCAACCAGTGCACCTTCAAGCCAACAAGGTACCTTTGTGCTACCACAATGAAGGCGCTTGGGATCTACATGGACTGCAAGGCAGTATTTGAGCACATGGGACTTCAAGACCTCTTAGCAAAACCGATCACATCCTACCAACAACTCACTTACCAGTTTCTCTCCACTCTCAAGGTGGTCTGGTATGAAGAAAGTGAACTCTCTAATGGAGATGGGTGGATCTCTTTCAGGATTGGCAAGCAGAAGTTAACCCCAACCTTCCTTACTATCGCTGAAGCTCTTGGTCTAAGATCCTACACCCACAAGTGGAACAGGTTTGACATTTCCTTGAAATAACACGCCATGCTGTGGTGCGAAATTGGAGCTGGGAAATACATTACTGGAACAACAAGGAATCAGCACCTGAAGCATCCTGATGTGAGATATGCTCACAAGGCACTTGCAAACACACTCTTTGCAAGGAAGGAGACAACATATCTCACAGAAAAGAAAAGAGACCTGATATACCAAGGGGTGTATGATCTTGTGGGCTCCAGCGCAGATGGGAGACCTCTCCAGCCGCCAAAGGGATATCCTTGCTATGTGTATATGCTGATGGAGAAGTTCTACTCCTACAATAGCTGGGTTTTGAGTGAGGGGAAAAAGGAGAAAAGTCCACAGATCCACATTGGAGGAGTTGTAACTGCAATTCTCATGGCCAGTGGTGTAGATGTTGAGGGACATGCAGATGATGCTTTGGAGCCACTATGGATTGATCTAGACTATCATAGGAAGAGCCACTTCCTTGAGAAGAGCATCAATTGCAAGCATGTCTACAACTTCATCAAGGACTTCAGAACACCAGCAAAGGTCCTTCTCTCTAATCCAAGGCTTACCTCCTTCACCACAAGGAGCAACATCAGTTTCAATCCAAGTGATGATCAGCTCTGCCAAGGCGGCCCTGTACCTGAAGAAAGAGAAGAAGCTAGTGAGGAAGAAGAACAAGAAGAGGTTGAAGAAGAAGTAAGAGAAGAGAGAAGAGAAGAAGGTCAAGAAGAAGTCCATGAAGATGCTACTGCTGGTGCTGAAAGCCAAGGGAAAACACAAGAATAAGAAGATGAGCTTGATGAAGATGAAATGTTGAGCTACAGTTTAAGGCAGTTCCACTTCAAACCTTATAGAGGTCCAAACCAAGAAAGCTCTATGAAGTCTGCTCATGAGAACATAAACACCCTTCAAAAATGGTGTAAGTGGCAAGACAAAGCCATTAAGAGTTTGGTGAAAATATTTAAAGGGAAGTTCAAGAAAAACAAAGCTACATCAGCAGGAACTTTCCATCAGAGCCACACTCATGAGCACACTCCTCATCAAGAAGAGCCAAGGCCACAAGCTGACCCAACTGAAGAAGAGGAGGCTGTTTGGAATCCCCATGGAAGACATTCCTTTCATGCACAGCCAAGTGATCAATGGGGGACATGAGCACAACCAAGGGGTTCATCATATGAGCCAAGGTCCCATATTCCATCAGCATGGGAACCAACTCCCATCCCTTATGAGGTTCAACAAACATGGCAATAGGGTCACCAATGTACTTCTAGAGTTGAGCAGTTATGGTCAAGCTGGGTTCCCCCACCACAAGAAGCAGCGCCATCTTCAAAGACTTATGAGAGGAGGAACAAGAGGAGAGCTAGCAAGACTCCTCAGACATCTGGATCCTCCCACCACTCCACTTATTAAACAAGGTACCACATCCTATCTATTGTCTATACCATTGCATTTTTTTCAATATTGTATTATATTTTTTACCTTCTTTCTCTCATTGCTTTCATTACACAAGAGACTGTGTAATTTAAGTGTGGGGGAGAAATTTGGGGTTTGACTTTGTGTTTTGTTTTCTTAGTTTTTCATTTTCTTTCACTTTGAGTCACATGAATATCATGCATTCATCTAAGGTATAGAAAAACACAAAAAAAAATTGAAACATTTTGCATTTTTGCAAACCAAAAAGAAGGCATATAGTTGCATTTCATTCTTCTAGGATTGAGTCTAGTGTTGACATATAGGTTGCATTGCATTTGCATAGGGCATAATGATGAAATTTCCTTGTAAAGTGCTTAGAGTTTAGAGATGATTTCAGTGTTTAAGTGATTAGTTGTTTGATGCATCATAAGAAAGCTAGAAGTTAAGACTGAACCATGCTTGGAATGCTAATTTTGATCATCTCATCTCATACTGAAAGCACTTGTTCTCTGAAAATCAACTCTATCAACTTGAACTTTAATTTGGACTTTTAATTATCATTTTTCATGCATTGAAAAGTGAATTCATGGCTACCATATACATATTTGGATCATCTTTTTCTTTTCTACCACTCTTGTTGATCCAAATAGCTGATCCTCATACCTATGGGACAGTTAATCCACTCCCTTAACCAAAACCTTCTTTTGAGCCTAAACACTATCTTAAGAGCTGTGAGGCCTTTGCATATCATTTTCGATTATGTCTTGGCAAAAAGTGTTAGGAATAAGGCTGGCAATAATAAGCTCTCTTGTAGATATCAGCTTGCATCTTGATCTTGACTCTAGGATAAGAGTTTTGGGTTTAAAGGGTAGTGTTAAGTGGTTTGAACTTCATGTATATATGTTTTGAAAGAAAAGGAAAAGGTTTGAAATGGTAGAATAGGGGAAATAGTCAAGAGTTGTGGTTAAGTAAAAGGAAGTAAAAGCTCTAAGTGTAAAGAAGAAATGCGCCAGCAACAGAGCTTAGAAAGGTCAAAAGAAGAAAAATCAGACCAAGAGCAATCCACCAAAGGTGATGAAGGTGCCAATACAACAAAGAAGAGCAAGTCCCAACCAAAAGGAAGCAACCACACAAGCAAAAAGAGAAGTTTCCCCAGCCATGAAGAAGGGTAAAGGGTAGAGTTTAGGAGAAGGATAGACTTAGGGGTTCACTTTTGGGTTTAGAAGTATTTAGGATTCATCTTTGGGTAGAAGGGAGCTTTGAATTGCATGCATAAGTGTTCTTTTACCTTAAGCATTTTACCTAAGATGGAATCTTTTTCATTGAGTGATCTCTTGTGTTTGAAAACCCTTTTGCTAAAATGAGATCATTTTATCTCATAACCTTACCCTTTGAATCAAATGTCTTCACTTGATTTGCATAAGCATGATTCATGTTCTGAGCTTAACTGAATGTTAAAGAGTTGGTTGATTTGAGCATTTGCCTAAGTTGAGATAAATGGCCGAAGAAAATCACAGTAAAAGTGGACATTCCCAAAGCTTTTGATACCCTATCTTGGGAGTTTCTTTTTAACTGTCTGGAAGGACTATCTCTCCCGGGACAATTCATCTCCTGGCTTAGAGCTTGCGTTATTACTCCTCATTTTACTATCGGCTACAACGGAACTGTTCAGGGGTACTTCAAAGGAAAAAAGATATTAAGGCAAGATGACCCACTATCTCCCTATTTATTTGTCATAGCTATGACTTGTCTCTCTCACATGCTAAACAAAGAAGCAGAGGAAGGATGTTTTAATTATCATCCTACGTGTGAGAAGTCAAAAATTAACCATCTATGCTATGCGGATGATCTCCTGATCTTCATAGAAGGCTCTCTGACTTCCTTGCAAAGTGTTCTCCAAGTTCTTCGGGAGTTTGAGCTTCGCTCTGGCCTAGCTGTAAGTGTCCAAAAGTCAGTCTTCTTCTGTTTGGAACTTATGACACACGAGAAGGACACCATCAGCTTCTCCACGGGTATGCCTAATGGGAGTCTGCCTGTTCTTTATTTGGGTGTACCCCTTTGCACCAAAAGCTAAGTCTCCTCAATTGTGAAACTTTTCTACATCAAGTGAGACAAATTTTTACCTGCTGGATTGCCAAATCTTTGTCCTTTGCTGGTAGGCTTCAGCTTATTCAAACAGTTATTGTGGGTATCTCTAACTCCTGCCTGAAAGCCTGCATAAAGAAGATAAACTTAATATGTAGTGCCTTCTTGTGGAAGGGGAGTTTAGAGGGTAACCATTCAGCAAGAGTTTCTTGGACACAAGTGACTCGTCCAAAAAATGAAGGCGGTTTGGGTATCAGGGGTCTTATCATTTGGAATAAAGCGTGCACTCTTAAACTCGCCTGGCTTCTCTTCTTCCAAGCAAGGTCGGTCTGGGTTGCTTGGTTCAAGCAGGAGATTCTTGAAGGTTCCCTGCATAACTTACAGCGAAAATTCTCGTGGTTTTCTAATAAGCTTCTTAAGCTTAGAGATGTGGTGTTCACCTGGATGAAGAGAAGGGTCCGTGACGGGAATACAACTCGGTTCTGGTCTGATAATTGGACTCCTTTTCGTTCCTTGCTATCGTTTCTAGCTACATCATGCAGGCCATCTCGACTCGGTATCTCCCAAAATACAACTGTTTCAAGCATCTTCCACAATGGGTATTGGGCTCTGCCCCCTGCAAGATCAGACAGCTTTGTTAATCTTCAGACTTATCTCACAACAGTGCAATTATCAGAGGGGGAAGATACTTACGAGTGGGTTATTGAGGATATCCCGAAAAAAGCGTATTCAACTGGCGACGATTACAATCAGCTTCAAGAGCTCTCACCCACTGTCCCTTGGGATAGTATAATCTGGAACAAAGGAGGTGTCCCGAAACATCGGTTCCTGGCATGGCTGTTTATGCTGAATGGCTGCCCAACTAGATATAGAATTCTGGGTTAGGGTCTTCAGACAGACCCGCTTTGTATACTATGCCCCTAAAAGTCAGGATCATATTTTCTTCGAATGTGGTTACTCTTGGTCCGTCTCGAGTCATGTCTCTCGCAGGACGGAAATTGATCCTCAGCGCTCTTGGGTTAGCTCCACCTCGTAACTGATCAACCTATATGGTGGAAAGAACAGAAGACAGTTAGCTCTTTTTAGTTGGCAAGCTGTTCTCTATTTCATCTGGATGGAGTGAAACAATCGCCTTCACAGGCAGATCTATCGTATTGACGACACAATTGTGAAAATGGTTGACCGTCTGGTGTGCAACAAAATCTCAAGCTTCAGAAAATCTAACCCCTCTATGGCAATGACTCTCCTCCAACAATGGCTCCTCACTGCCTAATCGGCTCCTCCTTCATTTAATGATCGGCTATCCATGGCCTTCAAATCTCTGGCTTTCTACTTCTGTCGGGTTGATTCATCTCCCCTCCTGATGATGCATGTGTTCTCTCCCAATTGTGGTTCTTCTTTAATGTGTGACTAGAGGCTTATTGAATTGGACTAAGATTATGTTGTTAAAACTTACTGTACTAGACTAAACCCATATTACTCTAACCTGACTGGGCTTATATGGTTTTTTCTTTTCTTTTACATTTTAATATGAAGGCCCTTTTCAAAAAAAAAAAGTTATAGAACAAACCTAACGCAGCATTGACAGATATTCGTAGTCTGTTAGACCATTTTAAAACGGGACCCTCATATTTTCCTGTATTTGATTAGCAAAACTAGCCGTTTTATGAATTACATTTTGTGATAATCAAGAAAATGATATATGTACATATAATATATAAATCTTTCAGTTTCACCTGATAAATGATCTTTAAGTCTCCATTAGGCATGTATTCGTAGATGAGAGCCAAGTGATCTCTTTCGTCGCGATATCCAACAAGACTCACCAAATTTATATGGTGAACTCTTAGAAGAAGTTCGACCTACATACCAACAATGAGAAAACACATTGGTTAAACACGATGCTAAAAACATATAGAGCTGATAATTTCATTTTACGATTTTGGATTATCTATAGCATATCATACATCTGCCTTGAAGTGTTTATAGCCCTGTGATGATGATTGTGAGAGTACTTTCACCGCTACTTGATCTGAATCATTTATATGACCATGATAGACGAGGCCAAACCCTCCTTTCCCTATAGCTTTTTGAAAGTTTTTTTGTCAGTTCTACAACTTCTGAATAAGTAAACCTTCTCTGTTTTGTCTCGATCAATTGTTCTGATATAGCCAAAGAAAAGTCTAGTAAGACAAAAATATCCATTACACATTATAGTATATAGTTTGTTGATTGAATGGTGAATCTCTGCAAATACCAGGACTTGATCGCTTTTTCTTTCTAAAAACAAGACTGAGAGTCAGTCCACAGCCGCAGAAGCAACTAATGCGACAATCATCACTGGGAATTTCTTGTTCGGACACATGAACTTGATAAACACTTCTTATCATCATCATTATCAACACTGCAAAAATAATATATGTCATTTAGTATGCTGAACGTGCAAGCCTTGTGCCACGAGGCACATAATCTTGAATGAAAATGTGTATGAATGGATTTCCTTCTTACAATAACTGTAGTCCTGATCTCTTTTTTCTATCACGTAGAGTCTTTGGAATTGAACTATTCAGTTTGTTCTTCCTCGAGTCTCTGTTAAAAACCAGAGAACTATTTGCACTTAGATGAACATGATACTTCAACCAAAAAAAAAAAGATGAACATGATACTGATACATGAGAAAAACCCACCAAAGCATGTCATGAAACTTACATGAGTAGCAACGATTTCATGTTAGCTAGAAATTCAGGCAATACTCCTGTCCAATTGTTATTTGACAAGTCCATGTAGTTTGTAAAAGAAAAAAGTTACCGAATCTATATGTCTTTTTCTTTCCTTTCCATTTAATTAATATTGACCATACTTGCAACTTTTGGAGATGGGTAAGATTTTGAATTCCAGTTGCTATGGTTCCTGTTAACCCACTTGAATACAAGTTTCGGTTTATAAGTCCAAACAGGGAAAAAAAAAAAAAGTGTATTGTAGATAGAAAATGTTTTCTAACAAGTCGTATATATAATGTGAATTTTGTTATAGAGATCTCACAAGAAAATGATTCTTGGTGGCTGTTAGAGATGAGATTCGTACCATCTCTACAAGCTCGATATGAATTCTGGTCGGTCCATTCTACAAGTTTCAGGTCGGCTGAACAAATGGAAACCTTCCATTTATCGAACAAACTCGGAAAAAAGGAAATTCCTTCTTGTCGGCAAGAAGAATTTCCTATTCTAAACACATTAAAGACCGACCTGATCAACTATAAATATGGGAAGCCCTCGACTTCTCAGATCATCCAAAAATCATCTATCGAGACCTACGGCAAACTAAGCAATCTGATTGTTCTAGCTTTCGATTTACTTTTCTTAAAAAGTTTAGGTCGGGGTTCTTATTCCGAAGACCTAATTCTCTGTGTATTCATTTAAGCTCTGGCTTCTTCTAATAAAAGACTTCTCTTTAAACCCACAAACCCTAGTTTTTTCGTAGATCGGACTTAAGTTTTACAGTTGGCACAGTCTGAGGGGAGTAAGAGAACAATCTTTGACTTAGAACAGAGTTCGAAGATGGTTGAAACACCGATCAACACCACCGACCTCACAGGAGGATCCACCGACCTCACAGAGAGAGCTGCCGATCCAACAAGAAACGCCCAGGGTCCGGTCGTCGACCCAGTCACTGGACTCCCCGTGATCAACGAGACCGATCAGCAAGAATACACGACAGACGCGACAGATCAGGTCGGCCGGACCGGTGGAACAAACACGACCAACCTGCCATAACCGCCTCCCATCGACATGGCCACCATCATCAGATTGGTCGCAGCACAGCTACAACAGGGAATGGATGCTCACTTCGAATCCTTCCGTGCCGAGCAGATTGCCTACTGAGAAGATGTAGATCGGACTTGATTTTTTACAGTTTTTATAGTTGGCGTCAGGGTTCATACCCAAGAGCAGGCCAATCTAATCACCCCCCCCCCCCCCCCCCCCCCCCCCCCCCCCCCGCTCTCCGATCCGCAACACAGATACGACTAGACTGGTCAACAACCTGTTCGGCACAACATCGACAGACGACCTGCGGAGAGCACAGGTAGAAGGCTCGAATGCTCGCTCATCCCGCAACACCGCAGGTGCCGACCTGACGACGGCCTCGAAACTTGATCTTCTCCACCAACGCCTTGGCGATATCCACAGCAAGATCCACAAGGCGACGACCTCTGCACCAGAGTTGGATAAGATCCTCCAGAAGACCCAGCAGACCCCGTTCACGTCGGCCATCACCAACGCTCCTCTCAAGGACATAGGCCGGATGAAGCTACCTCGAAGTAACACCGGCACGACAGACCCGAAGCGACACCTGACTGTATTCAACGCAGTAATGGGACGAGCTCGCTTCACCGATGAGGAGCGGGAAGCATGCCTTTGCCAGTACTTCGTGGAGACGCTCTCAGGCAGCGTCCTCACATGTTTCTCCCAGCTTCCCAAAAATTCCATTGACAGCTACAAGGAGCTCACAGCTCGGTTCCTTAAGTATTATTCGATTTATATCGACACGGAGTCCACGACGCTCGATCTACGGGCGTGCATCCAGGGCGACACGGAGCCGCTGCACGATTTCATCGATCGGTTCCGACCGATCGTTTCCCAGTGCAGTTTGTCGGACGAGATCTCCTTCAACATCCTTATCAAGAACTTGAAAGACGATTCGTCGTATTGCGAGCGACTGAAAACAGGAAAGACCAAAACCCTAGAGGATGCTTTACATAAGGCAACCGACTATATCAGGGTAGAAGAGGATAGGGCGGCCAAGGCCAAGGCCAAGTTGGCCGACGAGAAATCTTCGCGCGATAAGAAGGCCAGATCGTCGAATCAGGACGATTACAAAGAGCCCCATCACCACTACGACAAGGATGACAAGAATCGTAAGAGTATCACCACCGTTGGACGACTGAAAAAGCCATGGAACGTTTGGGATCGTTCGAGTGACAGAGACCCCAATAATAAGAAGCTGTGGTGCAAGTACCACAAGGTACACGGACAGCATACCGATGACTACCGTACCCTCCCGGCCCTCTTGAGAAAGGCGTGGGACGATGGCGAGTGCACCACACCTGAACCCTGGAGTTCTTCACGACGATCCGATGATGATCATGACAGGCGTTCTGATGGCGATCGAGATAGAAGAGCCGATGCTGATCGAGATAGAAGAACCGATGCTGATCGCCCATCTTCTAAACGCGAAGGCAAGGAAGCAAAGCGTGACCGTGGAGACTATTACACACCCCCGAGCTCACCACGTCGGCGGATCAACATGATCATGGGAGGGCTTCTCTCGTGCACCGATTCGATCAATTCGATTAAATGGCACGAACAGAAGGCAGCCAACCCCCCGAAGAACGCCCCACCGCTGTTCAAGGATGACCTACCGATCACGTTTACAGAGCAAGACGCGCAAGATATATACTGGCCTCATAACGATCCACTCGTCATCTCACTATGGCTCGGAGAAGACGACGTCTCCAAAGTGCTGATCGACACAGGAAGTTCGGTCGACCTCATCTTCATGGATACTCTACACAAGATGAGTATCCCCGAGCGGGATATCAAAGTCGTGCCATCACCCCTCACCGGGTTTGCTGGAGATTCGATCTCCACGATAGGAACTATAACGATGCCTGTCACCATACGCGGGCAGTCAATTTACAGTCAAGTTCGAAGTTATCGACCAATCTGCAATCTATAATGCCATCCTTAGAATACCCTGGTTGAATGCTATGCGGGCTGTCCCTTCTCCTTACCACCAATGCATCAAAATACCGATCAGGGGCCGTGTCATCACCATATGTGGCAATCAGACAGTGTCCTGACATTGTTACATCGACAACAAACGCACCCGCAAAGCATCAACGTTAGTGATCGGCAGTAGCAGCGACTTCGATCCACGGATTATTCATCACGGCGAGAAGCCGTAGAGTGATCTCATCGTCCAAGTCAACATCGATGCTGCTCACCCGGAACGTTGCATTGGTATCGGCACAGAACTGCTGCCAAGCATGCAGGACGAGCTGATCAGTTTCCTCCGGGAGAACGTCACAACGTTTGCATGGTCCATGGCCGATATGCAGGGCATTAGCCCTCGAATCATGAATCACGAGTTGAATGTCGACTCCACTTTCAAGCCGATCAAGCAGAAGCGACGGGAGTTAGGACCTGAGCGAGCACAAGCCGTCCACAATGATGTAGATAAGCTGCTTAAGGCCGGATCAATCGCTGAAGTCAA